TTTGACCACAGATCATGGCCCCGGGGGTGACCTGAGAGAGCCAGCAATCGGCTCCAAGGCCCTTTCTTGAGGTCCCATACAACAATTATAGAGCAGAATTTTGATCCAGGGGGGTCGATTTTTATGTTCCCGTAGTACCTTAAATGGGATGTCCCGTTTGAACTTGAAACATATTCCTGCTTCGCAATACTTTGCAATAGGCACTGGCATTGACACCCACCGATATGTGTGAGATCATATTCAGACATTGGCCATATGTAGCTATTGGTACAGCCCTACTTTTGTCTTATCACCATACCTGTGAGTCCTGCGGTGTCAGGAAAGTTAGCCCACTCTTGAACCCTGGAGCTGTTTCTGACTAAACAAGATCTCACTGTAAGGGTATATCATTCATGGCTTCATGGTTGCATGGCTTTTATGTGATATTTCATTAGCATTACCAATCAATCATTTATGATATGAGGTGCTTTGCGTCTCATTATATGGCACAGGTCCATCAAAAATTGTTTGGCAGATCATGGAGAATATCATGAGAGTTCTTCTTTATCACCGAAATGATTTGACCTACATCAACGTCGATGAGGTCTTGAGTATTCTCGCAGGCAGGAAAATACTCTCCCCTAAAGAATGTACGGAATTCATTGGTGGAAATCACACCCAAAGCGACAAAGTTCATTTCTTGTTGGAAAATCTGCCACGAGGAGGGGATGCCGCATTCCATGAATTCCTGAGCGTCCTTCGGCTTGGAAATCATGTTCTTCTTGCTGAAACCCTTGAAAATGGTGAGTTTCTCTAAAGGAGAAGGGATTCCTTCTCAGGAAACTAAAATTTACTGTAAAATAATCCCTCTTATTTATATTCTGAATTTGACAACCTCAGCCAGTCAATATCAAGGACTCCCCTAAATGAAAACACACTTGCATGGGTATCGAAATTTTTTTAATGACATATTTCTGAATTTCTGCTGTTGGCCTTTGGGAAACCAGAAGAAAGGTTGCCTTAGTTTAAGGGCCACTTTCATTTTGCAATCAGTACACGTATTCTAGTCCTAAGTCATTGAGAAAAGAGATTTTCCAGATATACGAGGTGTGGCTCACTGATTTGAAAGGACAGGTTCCTGCCACTTCTCAATGGCTCCCTCCCAAGACTCCCAGTTGCTCAATGCATAATCAAGAAGCTTCCCACAAGTGGTGTCATCTGCCCCAAACCACCGTGTATAGCGGCTATATTGGAATCAGAAAAGATCCTGATTAAATGCACCAAGCACCAATTTGAGAGGAGAATAATTCTGCTGACACTAAAAAATGCAGATTCATCTTGGAAACTCAAAGAAGCATGGAAGCCCTTGAAAAAAAATTTAAAAAAAACCTCTAAAACTGAATCCAAGGGCAAGGGATTCAATCATCTCCTACAGAGTAGTTGCAAAGGTGAAGAAAAAGTAATAAAAAATAAAATAAAAAAAAGCAATGTACATGGCGATTCTTTAATTATGCCACACTTTAAAAAATTAATTAAAAATCAATGGGGTAAGTTTAATTCCCCAAAGTTGGCATGATTTATCTCTATACCTGGGAATTTTTGGGCAACCCATGCTGCAGTTGCTTTGCTAGCATGGTGTCTCTCAGTGTGAANTTCACCATTTAGCAGCGGCATCACCATGGCCCCACTCCCCTCCTCTCTCTCAAAGTTCAGCAATAAAACCAGTCTGGAAACATAATAGCCACACCTCGTATACCTTTGAATCTATTTATTTTTGTGGAGTCGTCAATCTCTTTGTTGGCTGCCAATTTTGATAAAAATTAGTATACTTATAAGGTGCCACAATAGAGTTTGCATACCAAATTTCTGCCTCCTAACTCTGTAGGGGGTGTAATTATTTTCTGATGACCAATGACAATATATGCTGTGAAAAATATCGATACGAACTTGAGAGTGGGATGAAAGCAATGTACGAATTCATAAACTTCCATCCCTGCATTATGCTACAAAGGAAAATTGGGAGGCAATACCTCAAAGGTTTATTGACCGAGGCATTGATCTGTGGGCTCCAAGAATAAAGGCACAACAGGATGGAGGGCACATTGAGCACTCTTTCAGTTGAAATGAACGTCCCTGAACCAAATTGTGCTTTTTCGTTTTTGACATTTGTGCATTCCTTTTTGTTGTTTGTTTGCTTGTTTGTTTTGGTCAATTGTGAAAGATGTTAAGCTGAAGGAAAAAATGAACACTTGCTTTTTTGGCAATAAAGTGTAAATTAAATTCCAATCTCGCAGTTTTTCGTGCTCTCATTTGAAATTTCGCAAGCAAACTATGATTAAATCACCCTGTCATCATATGTCATAAAAATCGACTACATACAGATTAACAACTAACCAAAAATTGTATTTTTTTTACCTCTTTGTATATAGCTTTCGTCCAATTTTGAAGGTTTTCAAAAGCCCAGTCAATATTAGATTCAATGTTCATGTTTTACATTATGGGACTGGTGATAAATTTCGTACATCATTTGCATGAATTGCAAGGGGAATGTAATCTCCATGTACATCCATTTCACCATTTGGAGAAATGGAAAGAATGGGAGAAAAATGTGAATGTGTTATTCCCAAATGGACAAGTTTATTTTCATTCAGAATGCAATGATCTTCATGTAAAATTTGAACAGTTATTTCTTTTGATATTTCCTGCTGGTATGAATTTTCTTCATCCAATATTGTTGAAAGTATTTTGAAGGGACATCAAATTCCATAAAATATGGATATTCATGAGGAAAAAAGGAACATCAATGTCACACAACCTTAGTCCAGCCTTATCCTAATTTTCAATCCTTTCAAATTTGAATAAAATAGGTAACTTTTGATTCTTCAAAAGTATACCCTTTATGACAAAAATGGTTCTATGAGTTCGGCTTAAGGACCAAAATCCCATTATATTGGGCAAACCTCATTTTGGTCATGCAATAAGGACAGAAAATGTATGTTTTCGACCTGTATTTCCTCCAGGTGAAAGCATGTCATGAAAATAACATTAATATTTTTTTATGTCACATTAAAAAGAGTTTGGATTACTTTCTCGTCAATGCTATTTTCATGTGGAGTTGCTTCAACATTTGTGGTACTCATGAGGCTTTTTTAGTTTTCATACTACTGAAAATGTTGTTTAAAAAAAGCCTTTTTTTCTGCCATTAAGCATTAAAAAATGGAACTCAGCGTCTCAACGCGACGTGATCAGGAGAGCGCGTTCTGGTTGAGCATTTGTCAGGAATAAAAATTGTTATGCGTTCTGGAACCATTGAACAGCTTGAAGCATGTTTTGAATCGAAAAAACGTATAATAGAGCTAGTCCCTCGTTCTGGGCAAGTTAATGCCAATTTGGCTTTGACTTTATCCTAAATATGCCTTTTGTTGCCCGGGAAATTGTCTCGAAGCAGAGGATTTGAAAACTTGATCTTAGGTATTCATCACTCAAATGGATGGGGAATAATACATATTTTTTGCGCTTGTTCGTTGCATTCTAAAGCATTTCCTTTTATCCGAGTATGCATTATATATCCTGAGGTGAGAGGTGAACCATCGAGGATATTAGGATGGCTCATCCGGCAGAACCGAGACGAATTGATGAGGTCCCTCTCCGGTGATGCTTTAGTAAGACTCCGAAAGTCCAATATTATCCCAAAAGTGGATGATTTCACAGCACCAATATTGGACGAGGACAGGATACTTCTCATGCTTGTGCAACTTCAGAACACGATCAATTCAAGAAATTTCAACAGTTTCTTGGATGTTCTATCTGACACAGGGCAAGGTGATGTTGCTGGAAGACTTCGTGAACAACGTAAGAGTATTTCAGCATTAGTCTGGTGGGTGTGCCATAATTTACATTAGGCCTGCCTTCCGTCTTCAATTACACAATTCTTCTTCCGCTTGTAGCTCCTTCAATTTCAAAGTCTAGTTGCATTTACTCTAAAATACAGCGAATACTCATTGAGTAGGATTGCATCGCCATCAAATGAGACAATATCTCATTCTTAATACCTTGCTTCTTAAATTTTCATTGACAGGGAGAGACATGGAAGAGCGGATGCGCAAATTCTACAAGGAGTTTAAACCAAAGCAGTAAGTCAGAGGTTATAACCCTAATATATGGAGCAATATTTAGAATTATATTACTTAACATTCCAGATTTTGACGGTAGCGCGCTTGAAATTTTGCGTCCGTCGAGTGGAAATCTATTTTCAAAAAGAGATGCCCATCTTCCATTATTTGCCAAAGAAAATTCATTTGTGTCGTTACTTCGTAGGTTGCCAAATTTAGAAAGGGTTAGGGCCATGGTGATGCCGCTGCTAAATGGTGAAAGGGACTGGTCAGAAGTCGGACAAAATTTGGGTATCGATGGTGACATTTTGGGAAGGATGGACCAGAGGAGCGTTGGACCACTCATGATGGTATTAACTCTTGCGGAAGATTTCTTCAACTCTACATCTGAAAACTGTGCTTCCACCCTCAGTGAACTACGTGTCACATGGTTCCAGCAAATAGCACAGGTCGAGAAAGAGACACTCATCAAAATCATCAGTGGACAGCCATGATACCTACTCACGCCATCATTATGCTTTGCGTGGATCATACGACAGATCATTTGGATTTTAAAGTATCCTATGTTTTAGGACTCACGTTATTGCAAAACTTCAGGGATCGGTGGAACACACTAACAAACATTTCATGGTGACGATTTTGATATTGGTTAAAGATAAACGGCGCTAATGAGATCAGGAAACTAGCAACTGTAAGATCAATTTAGCATATGTAAATACAAACTAAAATGTGAAGTTAAAAATTTGAGAGAGATGGCTTCAGAATATTTTAAGACCATCTAGATCCATGTTCCATGTCGCAAATTTCAAGCGATGAACAGAAAAAAGTATGAGCCAAGTCCACTCAAGAAGCTTGCAGGGCACACTTATATATTTTATGGAATTATTGTCATGCTTATTGGGTGATCAATGGATGATCAGCCGCAAGAATTTGAAACGGCAGAATTATATTTAATCAAATGCCTGCTCTTTCAGGTGCTTACAATATATGTCTTCACGAGAAAGTTTCAGGTCATGGAAATATACTGCATGTTCTTGACTCGAAGTTACTCAGTCACCTTCGGTCACCCGGCAAAAGCGGCGCCCTCTATCGTGATACAGCACCATCTAGCGTGAGTGAAAAAAAGTTGACTCTTGAGCCTCTCTGTCAAGTATCAGCTGGATCCAACCGTCCTTTGAAAAGTTAAAATTGAAAAATGTATTGAATTCTGTGGCAGTCGAGCATAGGTCATTAAATGATGAAACTTAATGTTCAAAGTCCACATTCATAAATACAAATAAAACCTATGGTATAAAATTGCTGATCTTGTAGGAGAACACGAATGTGATAGCCTCATGAGTTTTGTATCTCGCCTTTGGACCAGTGTTAACCAATGGAGTTTAAGTATGGCTCCTTTGGTGGCAAATTCCAGATGATTTTGAGTAATATATACTGATCATACTGTATTTTCCTTTTGTGCAGATATGTCATATGGAAGTGCAAATTGACCCTATGCGTCATAGATGTGTTTTGAAACAAATAATTGTTTTGAGAATCCATTGAGTTGTGGAAGGCGCTGCCGCCCCCCCCCCCAGCGCATCGCAGCATCACTGGTGCTGTCTAGGCTGTTCGCTGACTACGAGCTATATTTTAGTATTGATTCTATTGTTATTGAGGGTGTCTGTATTGCCAAGCGAAGCAACCAGATAAATATTCAACAATTTACTGGAAGCAGAAAGTATGAACCTGAAAGTAAGAAAAAATATTGTGCTATTGTAATTGCCATCTAGGCACAGGGGAACTCTTCAAGAATTGTATTGTACTGGTTGGTAACTGAACGACTTTCCAGTGGTATGTTCCAAAACACCTGTGACTGAAGGCTGCCAAAGCTTATTTAGAAGTTATGAAATGATGCTGACAGTTCTCGAAGATGCTAACTACAGTTTCAAACTCATGCATGTCTATAACTATTGGAATTGGTTGTAGTGGAGAAAGAATTTTCTGGCCAGTTGGGGCTGTGATCTGTCTTCATAGACAGGATATATGTAGAGTTCCAACACATTTGATGAATTTATTAATAGTATAATTTTTGGAGTAGAACTATGTTTTCGTGCCGAAAGAAAGCAAATTCAATATGGTTTATGAACTTATTTATTTCCTTGTAATCAGTAAACTTCCATAGTGCCAACATTGAATCTTTATCTACCCTATTGACCCAAGTATTACGCAGTTGGTGGGTCACCAAGTACGCTGAGGGAAGAAAGCTAGTTCCCCACCACATTCACTAGATTGTGTGACACCATCACATCTCCATTTAGCTACTTTATGATGTGCCACAATTGGGGAAGGCACCTAATACCCCCTTGCATATCCGATTCACCTCTTAAACTTGGAGCTCTCGAAAACTCAGGGGAGGGTCATTTTATTTCGAATCAGCCAGAGGCAGGGCAATGGTCACCTCCAATGTTCTCGAAAATTTGTTCATGAGTATTTTATAAACAGACAAAGGGAAAAAATATAATTATGATTGCTTGTGAAAGCCTTTGCCGGAATTTTGAAAAGTTGTTAATAGATGTAGGTCTTGAAATCAATATGGGCGTGGTAGCGCCCATAACCTTTCTTCAAGCCCATCATGTGACAAAATTCATTAACTCCTCAAGCCTTATATTGGAATCGAAATTCACGCCTTCTTCATGTCTTTGTTTTAAATTGCACCATATAAAGAGAAAACACGGTCAAGAGGAAGGCAGGTACCTAATTGTAGCTATTGGGTGCGGGGAACATGGGTACCATCTAGTGGGATTATTGTTACTACATGTGATGCAGTGCCAGTTACACTATGGGAAGGTAAGAGGTGGTCGTCCACCACTAGGTAGCGGGTTAGCAACTCCTTGTCCCACTTGCCGCCTCAATCTGGGAAAATATATGCAGGCGTTCCTTGGCAACATTTAGGACGTGTGTGAGGTGATCTCTCCCTCCAGTTAGGATAAATTCTGTGTCCTGCAATTATGGTCCTGGAAAGAGTGACCTCTGTGCAGCCTAGCAGTGGTTCAGAATCCACCAGAGGGCCTGGATGTCATGTCTATATTTGGCAGCCGCCTTTGTGGATGTTCATGTCCTCCTATTTGTCCTTGTGTCCTGATCTGGTCGGCAACAGTGCCAGGGCAGTACGCGTGTAAGCCGACGCGGAATTATCTTTTGGAACTTGCATCGCCTTGCAGTGTCCTTTACTCCTTTCATTTTATTTCATGGGAACAGTCGCGAAAATGTTAATGTCGGAGTCTAGTTGTATGGGCCTTTACTAGTTTTTGTGTATTAGTTTTGGTAGGCCAAGCCTATACCACACTCATCGCCAAAAAAAGGCACACCAAGAAGGACTTAAACGATCTTGATGAAATTTAGTAATCATACTCGTATTAGTGCGTCATGGAATTGATGCTAGTTTCAAGGTCGTATGTTCAATATATGCAGAGAAAACTTGTCAAATATTCCAATTTAAATGGGGTCGGAAAGGTCGTACACTCTTAGAAAAAGGGGAGCGATTTTTCTCAAAAAAGGGAGAGTAAAATAGCAAACTCCAGTTTCACCCCCCTTTCGCTCTGGGAAAGGAGCGAATTTACTCCATTACCAAGGAATAAAATTGCTCTCCTCCTCCGTGAGTAAAAACGCTTCCATCAGAAAATGATAGGGATTTCATGCACGCGCGAAAATTCTCATAAATACTGTATATCTCTTTCGCTCTCGTTACCTACCTCTGCCTGTACTGATTACAGCACATGTCAGAGGGTGGACCACCTCTTATTGGTTCCATAGAGCGTCCGGGATATATGTCCCTTATTATCTCATCTAATTGAGGTATGATTGAATGAAGTTCACAATCATGAATCATAAATGTTCAAAAAAGAGTTCTTAATAGGAATATCAGCTTGTTTATGGCCTGGACTCTATGAAGATCTTAAATATGTGGATAACAAATGATGAAGTGTCAGTGTTGATTTATTCCTATAATGAGACTAGGCGAGACATATGTCGAGGTACTAAACAATCCTGCGAGTGACGATTCCAGGGAAGGAGGGAAGGGAACTGTTGTGTACTGTGCGAAAAGCGAGACCCTTACCTCCATCTAGTGGCCTGGCGAAAGGTGTTCACTTCAATACGAGCGATAAGGGAGCATTTGATGAGTAATAAGAGAGTAAATTCGAAAAGCTCACGGTGTGCTCACTTTTTACTCCCCAAACGCTCGGAATTTTTTAAGAGTGTACTTATAGCCCACAAAGAACATCTAGAAGGAGTTTATTAATGAAATGCAAAATAAGAACTTCTACAGATGTTTAGTACCATGAAGCAAAGTTAAAAGGTCATAGGATGAAGGGATGCAGGGAAAACTTTCCGAGCTAGCCGAACGTCCCGAGGGATGGGGAAAAGGGCAGTTTCATTTTCTGCTTCCCTCCATTCACTCTGATTTGCTTGAATCGTTTATTTTTCGTCTTTAAGGTCATTGTAGGACCACGAACACGGGCCAAAGGACTTCTTTTAGGACTGTGTATCGGCGTGCAATCTAGCTGGGAATGCGGTCTAGACGACATGTCTGACTACCCGTCCCCACCACGAGTACATTCCGTGAACACTGGTTGAAGCGATTCGGTCTCGGAGAATCTACGTCCTGAAATACCGGTCATCCCTGGGCGTCGGAATGCGATCGGGGCCTGATCCTCATTACCGTGGATGGGTAGTCCCGTTCTGATACCGAGTCCATCAACGCCGGACGGCAGTTTACACTTAGGCGATGCGTAACCTGATGCTGTGGCCTACCTCCATCATGGCAACTAAGCGACCTCGATCGAACTGCTGAAGTTGGTGAAACTGCCTCTGTGGANGAGAAAAAATTCAAGACACAGGCTTCCGCTGGGAAAGTCATGCTTTCCATCTTTTGGGATGTCAATGGCCCTATATTGGTGCATTTCCAGGAAAGGGTTGAAACTGTGACTAGTGCTCGATACAGTGACATGCTAGTGAACAAGTTGAAGCCCACGATACGATCGAAAAGCCTGGGACTTCTCTCAAAAGGAGTATTGTTGCTGCACGACAACGCCCGCCCCCATACGGCTGTGCATACTGTGCATACACTACATACTCTGAAATTTGAGGTATTGAAACATCCAGCATACAGTCCGGACTTGGAGCCATCGGACTTTCACTTGTCTGCACCTTTGAAAGAACATTTGCGGGGTCAGAAGTCTGCAGATGACAACGAGGTAATGGAGGCGGTGCAAAGTTGGTTAAAGGCCACACCAAAAATATTTTTTCTAGAGGGCATCCGCAAGCTTGTGGACAGGTAGACCAAGTGTGTTGTGAAGCAGGGGACTATGTCGAAAAATAGGACACAAACAATTTCTGTAAGTACTCTTGTAAAAGAGTTATTAATAAAATTCCTGTTATTTAATGACTTTCCCTCGTAAATACATTTTTCCCCCGAACTCTGAAGATTTTGTGTCCCGCTCCTGCTGTGAATCTCTTGGACGTTGTGGCCTTTGCTTCGGCCCTTGTATCTCCACTGCCATTGGACATTCACTGTTTAGATATTCCCTTGCCTTGTAATGTTAAGTTAATGGATTTGTAATTGTATGTGATTATGTGAGAATCAATTTCTTTAGTTTTCACACAATCTACATTGTGAATCCTGAACTTCATGCTCCACTACCGTCTGGTTTCTCATTTTTCTCTAAATTAAAGAAGTTAAACCTAAAACTATTTTTTATCGTAAAAAAGTCAGTGACGCGTAGGAAATTATTATTACTTGAAGCTTCAGGTTCGCATGACTCGGAACTACAGGCTGAAGATCATTATAGGAAGCCTGCATGGATATTGCCAAGATTTTAAAGGAATATGAAACAGACTTCAAGTGGATTGACATCGATGAAATCCTTTGGGACCTGGTTGAAATGGGAACACTGGATAAATGTTTTCCTGA